TCAAACCCATCAAAAGTGTATAGATCTTCATGGGGAATATTTTGAAAAACAATAAAGTGATTTTCAATGATTAATATTTGTTTTAGCTGATACAAAGTGGATAAATCCAGTTGCTAAATTAAGGGGAAAAAATGCACTAACACGTGGTGAAGTCAGAAACACTTCATTGAGAGTCCTTTATACCGAAAAATCAATTGACGGCCAAATGTCTGTCTGTGAACACTACTGGCATCTGAACCTTACATAGGATTTTTTCAAAATTGAAGGAACCCCTGCTCATTTGCCTCGACTGGAAGCTGTGAGATTTTGGAAAACATTCTTTAAAATTTGGGGGTACTTTACATGAAGCCCGTCGAAAATTTTCATAAAAGCAGCTCCAGATTTTATTTTTTTAAATTTCTTGTAAGAATAGAGTAACATACACTTATAAAGGGGCAAAGTGGCTATTATTTTGTGTCAAAACTAACTCAAAATTCCGCATTTTCAGAAACTCAAACACCATTTTCTCAAGAATGACTCAATTTTTTTTTAAAATTTTTCTAACAAATAGTGCTAATTGCACTCTTTAATATGACATTAAGTTCATTTTGGGATTTTTTTGTTTTTTTCAAAAATTACCTAAATGTAATTTTTGTGAAAGATCTCTCTCACCTCCCTGATTTCCAGCAATTTGTAATCACTACAGTATTTGTGAGTGAAAGTGCTTCAAAAGACTTCAAATGAAGTTTTCTGCAAATTTCTGCAAATTTCAAATTTACAGTAGCGCTTAAACACAATTTTCTTAAAAACGTCTTTTTCAAAGAAAATTGCAATTTAGTCTGAGGATTTGCCGTTCTTTATTATTCATAAAATTATATTTACATTATATTATTAGAAAATTAAAAAAAAAATGTATTTTGGGCAGCGATAGATGGCAGCTTGCAAGAGTATGTGGCAAGTTCGTATAGCTAGCCAAGACCAAAGGAAATAGGAAACATACGAGAAAGTATGTGCCATTATGTTCCTCTAGTTTATTGTATGTGTTCTGAATAATTGGTGTGAACTTTATTAAAATTTAATAAGATAAATAAAAAAAATAAACTTAAAGAAAATCTTCCATTTTAGTATCATATCAAAGCTTTACCCAGCAATGGATAGGTGAAAAAATGTAACTCTAACGGATGGGGCGGGTCTGATACACCCAAATTAACAAATGAATTATATAGAAAATATTTTGTTTATACCATTGTGAGAGGACTTCTTAATTGTGTTAGTTTGAAATATAAAAATACAATTTTGTTAATATATTATGTATGTATTATTTATATTAAAAAAATATTAGGTAAATTAAAGAAAAAGCACAATGATGCCTTTCTAATACTATCCTCATCACTTCACTGGAAAGTTTGTCTCATTTCTCAAATTACTGTTCCGTTTGACTTTAATTATACCTAATGCTACAAAAAAAAGCATATTATCTATTGTGCAATAATAAATCATTCTAAAAATACAAATATGTACTTTCTCGACTACAGTTTCATGAATGAATGGGTGAGGTCTGAGAGACAAAGCATGGAAAAAATTACGCATATAATCACGTACACAACTTATATGGCAATAACTGTCACATTGAACATTACATTTTGTAATAAAAGAAAGGTAGAGAGATGAACAGCTGCTAAAGCCATCAGTATGTGATTGGTTGAAGTTTTTTGTCACCTCGTGAGTCTCTCAGACCCAACCCGTCCGTTGCAAGGGGTAAAGATAGACATAGTAAGCATTCCTCCCTATTGTCTGAATATTTGTATACCTGACAGCTGTGGTTGGGGTAGAGAAATGTTGCCACATTGTGGGGTGGCAGACACATTAATGCGTCAGATCAAAACAGCTGCAGTAGCAGGAAACAAATATCAGTGAGAGCACTCAACAGTAGACAACACAGATCCACACGCATAACCAAACAAATAATGGCGCTCTTCAATTTTGAGTTGTAAGTTTTTTTTTCTTAATAAGCATTGGCAATTCTGCAATGAATCGGAATTTGAAGCTCTTGACTGGATAATGGAACCCCCTCTTCCCTGTCAGACACTAACTGGCAAGTAAACATAAATATTATTTAGACAATAATAGTGTTATTGTAAAGACAGATTTATTTTGTTTACCATAGAAGTTCCTACAGACCAAAAGCATCAGTTTCTCACATTCATGAAACTCGCAAATTTTTTATTTTTCTCAATAACTGTATTATTTTTGTCCCTCCAAAGCTTGGCTAACATTTTAAAATTTTCAATCTCCCTTGTGAGAAGATTTTGAATCTACAAGTGAAGGTAGGCCTATTTCTTTGAAAAATATCCTTCGACATGGTGTAGTTGTTCACAAATTTCAGGAATAATATTTGAAATGGAGGCTTTAGACACCTGAAAACACACTGATAGTTTCCTGAAATTGGTTTCAGAGGCTCGAAATGCCAGTTACTTTTAACTTACTTCTTGCAGGCAGAGCAATTGGCTTCCAAGGGTCTTCACAAATAACAAGCAGAGTTTAAATTGTTGTGGTGAAGGTGCCATAACTGATTCAAATTTCTGAGGATGTATGTAGCTTCCTTAAAGTATTGTTTAAACACTGACCATTTTATTTTCTAGCCAATCACATGCCCATGACCTTTTCCCATTTCTTGCAGTAATAATTGAAGTTCTTCACACACAACTGAAAAGTTCAAATGCTCTGATCTTTTAAGTAATGCACTGGTTTAATGGCTCAGGGCATCAACTGATGTTGCAGTGTCTCTGACCGGAAAGAGGTAGGGTTCAAGTCCTAGCAGTGACAGAATTTTCGAATTCGGTCGCTGTCTGGAGGAGAGAATTCTAGAGGCCAGCTCCTTTGATCCACTCCAGCGAATGGTGGTGCCGAGAGTCTCGAAATGAAAGGCTGGTAAATGTAGCTTCACTAGGCGCACGTTTTGTTGAGCTCTCCTTTTGCTTGTAATGCTAAGAGTAGAGGTAAGGGCGAGTTGCTATTTTGTTAACAATGCAGAAAAATCATACTTGCAATTCGTGTACCTATGCAAATAAGTTTTCTATAACTCAGAAACGAAAATTACTATTTTTCAAATATTGCTTATCTTGCGATTTTTAATATTTATTTATTTATGTTAAACTTTTACTCATCTTTCAACTATTTATAGTTAAAATGACGAAGGGATTCTGGAACTCAAGAAAACGTGCGCAGATAATCTTCTCCGCCCCCTACGTTACAGTTTTTACTGTTTTACTGAATAAATCTAAATCTTACTTGGGCGGATTATCAATTCCGGGTTGTTGTGGATTCAATAATCTACGAAAATAATATTTCTGCCAAAGAAATGAAGTGTTGTACTCCTAAAACATTAAATAACTCAATAAAATGGGGACGTTGAAGTATTGTTATATAATTTAATTCAGTGACATGCAAGCTGATGCACTGTTATCATAATATTGTTTCTCAGGTCACACGGCGAGCAGTACCCTAACAAACGAGCCAGAGACCACGCACAGTCTTTCCTTCCTCTTCCGTGTCCAAACTTCATACCTTACATGCCCTACATTATCCAGGGTGGCCAACGAACCTTGGAATTTTTGAAAACCGGTAATTGGAAAACGCGTTGAGAAAAGGAAGAAACGAAAATTTTCGCGCTCTTTATCGCCAACTTTCAGCACAGTTTCACATACATCTTTAAGAATTTTTATTAAACTCCGTACATGACAGTTGCGAGTGTTGAAATCAAAATGTATAAAAAAAGCCATATGTATGCTTAAGGATTGCGAAGTCCTTGACCCGCTAGCCACACGCATCAAAAACAACCGCGTGTGTACGTGCAGTATGGGAGAGTAGGTTGCCCCACATGGTTGTCTCTGGACGGACGAGATATTTGCGAAAGATGATTCATTGGAAACTGGATCGCTGAGTTTCGGTCAGTGTCTCGTCTCTACTTTGATGGCATCGGCGGTAGCAGATTATAATTATTACTGTCCCGTATACGTACGTATATATGGAGTGTTATACGTAATTTAGGCAAGTTATGTATTGCCGTGGAAAATCGACTTGGAGGATTCAACGGAAATACGTTTTGGAGTCCCTTGATACTGAAAGTGTTTGTTTTCAAAACGTCCGTGCGTCTGCGAACACCACAAGCCTAAACCATAAGTAGGATTTTTTTTTTTCAAATTGAAGAAACTTTATCTGGCTCGAGTCGAAGCTTTGGGATTAAAAAAAAAAAATGAGGATACTTTAAAGAAAGACCCCCAAACATTTTCAAAATTTTCTCAATAGTTCAAAATTTTTTCTTTAAATTTCGTTTAAGAATAGAGTAAAACACGCGTATTACGGGTAGCATAGCTTCGATTTTCAGTTTTAACTATTTTCGAAAATTTCAAAATTTTTCGGGTGTGTACTACTACAAAATTGAAGATCGAGGTTTTTCCTTCAAATGAAATGTGTTCTCCATAGTGAGTTATTTCTTTAAGGTCATATCATTTTTTTTTCATTTTTTTATTGTCTTATTT